TCTCGCACTGTTCAACGGAATCGCAGAATCGTTCGGGACGAGGAAGGCATGGGCGTGGGCACGACTGGATCGCGTCTCGAAGAAGGCGAGGAAATCGGCGGAGGAGGAGAAGGGGATTCGAGAGTTCAGAGAAATTGGATTGGAGAATTTGAGAGAATTGAGGAAGAAAGGGAAGGAGGAGACGAGAATGGCGATGAAGAAGATGAGAGATTTGGAGGATTGGATCGGCGACATAGAAACTCGAAGCCAGAGAGTGTTCAGAAGCTTGATCAGTGCCAGAGTTTCGCTGCTAAACGCTCTGTCCCAGCAGCAACCACTGCAAAAATAGGGCAGAAAATTATACGAAATTATACTAATTATTAAATTTGTACATGATTTAGAGATTTTTATTCCTTTTTTTAAGAAAAAAGAAGGAAAACTTCGTGGTGTTAAAAATTTAGAAAAATAACATACAATTATAAGGTGTGTACTGTACAGCTGAGTTGGTTTTGATGAAAATATATTTGAGGATGGAATCTTGGAAGTGTGTAGAAGATTGAGCCCATCACCATCCCATGTAATGATTTGTCTATTTTTTACTCAACAAAGTAAATAAATTTTATGTATTTGATTAACGTTAGTATGAAAGTTTTATCATTATTTGTATGACTTTTTTTTTTTAATTTCGAATGCATTTTTTAAATTAATTTCGAAATTAATATACATCGAGACATCACAAGATTATCAAATTAAAAATCCTACTCTAGGACATACCATACAAAACTTAAAAGTAATGGGAATTAACAAAATAATGGTCATGCTTAAAATAGAATCTTGGGTCTCCAACATCAGGACGAAGTTTAGATCGAAGGATTAGGTTAACTTGCAATTTGACTTTGATAGCAATTGGTTAGGGCAAGAACATACCTAAGATGTTTTGAGGACTAATTATAACACATTTTAACTCATGTAATATACATTCAAAATAAAACACAATTAATTTATCTAAAACTGTTTTTCTAGAGATAGATTTAAGGGTAAATCATGTTATGAGCCTCCGATTTACCACGAATTTATTTTTTATTTTTCTTTATTTTTTAGTTCAAATTTATTTATCATAACTTGTCAAAGTTTTTCTTCCCCACAAATATTAGCTTGTATTTGTAAAGCCTTTGTTTTTGGCTTTTTGCTGGTTCGGCACGTCTGCTCCACTATTGGTCAAGTTGTGTGCATAATTCATTAATTAAGTTACAAAATTCACGGCGGCGATCTTCGGAGTTCAGATAATCTGATTGTATAAAAATATATATTTTGTCCAACGTAGCTTTCTAGAAGAAAATGAGGTGTTTCAAATTGTTTTTTTTTTATTTTTCGTTTTTAGTGTTTTTTTTTTGGAAAAGAAAATAATAATGACCGACATTGATGTTATTGAAGGCCAAGACTCCAAAATAGAGAATTTCAGAAATGAAGACATTACTTATAAAAAAATTGGTTTTGAATGGGTTCGAAAATATTTTCTTACTACCTTTTTACGTCTTGAATAATTTTTTGAGTTTCTAAAAAAAATTGTCATAGAAACTCCGTCAACAAAAAAATTATCATAAAAGTATTAATAACGGTATCCCATATGATATTGTCCGCTTTGGATATAACCCTCGCAACTTTATTTTTGGTTTCATCCAAAAAAAAACTTCATACCAATCAAGATAATTGTCCAATCTTATATGTCAAATGTATAACTTTGTTTGCACTCTCCTTACGAATCCAACAAAAAGGTGGAGAGAAAATTCGTGTAAAATGTGCTCTGCTAAAACGTAAAATAGTAAATAGTTAATGTTAATCATGGCTTTGAATATTTATTTTTTTCTTGACAAAATTGAAAGTAATTTATGTAAAATCTGAGCTAATACCATGAAATATTATTTAAAAAAACCTGAAATATTTTTATTGGGTCAAAAACATTTCTTTGAAATTGGAAATTACTTAACAAGCCCTATATTCCTATATTCCTATATTCCTATATTTTTAATGGGTCAAACATTTCTTAACAAGAAACAGGAACCTTCGAGCCCTATATTCCTTCATTTTGATTCATAGTCTATAATATTATACTAAAATTACTTGACCTTTTTTTTTACCTCAGTTTTACAGTTTCTCTCATGAACTCTTGAAAAGTTGGGCCTTTTATTGGGCCTTCAGATCCCACCGGCCCACGAATTGTACTGTAATTTTTGCCCTTTGATTTTTGGGCATATCTATCCTAAATAATATTGATAATTAAACGTTAACTCATTTGACCATTTTTCAAAACGCTCTATTTATTTTGACAATTCCTCTTATTATCTTTTGAATCAAATTGATAAAATTAATTAGATGAAACTGAAAGAAGTTGAAATTTTAGAATATATCCAAAAAAAAATGTCTATTTTAATTAAAGATTCCAAACAAACTGAGGTTGTTTGGTAACCGAATTTTCAGTAGTCCGTATTGTTCAGAAAATAATGGGATTTGACTGAATGACGATGATAAGGCCAACATGACGTGATAATTAATCTTTTTTCTTTTTCTAAAAAATATTAATGCATTGAATGGATTTTTCTATGCCTATTTTAAGACAAAAGTTTAAGGTTAAATTAAAATAATATTTTGGTTTATGAAATTTTAGCTTTCGTTCATGTTTCTACTTTTAAAACATTTATTTTGGTTCCTCGTTTCAAAGGGATTAGTCATAATTAAGACAGAATCCCCAAAATCATATAAACATATTTATAGACTTAAATATGCATTTTTTTTTTCACTATGACCTTTTAGAAATTTGATTTTTATAATTTAAATGTTATCCACTTTCTGTTATTTGTCACTGTTAAATTTATTTATTTATGAAACATGTTTATTTATTTATTTGTGAAACTTCATGTTTAGGCTCCATAAAATAGTATTATTCTAAATCATTAGAGATTTGATCTAACACTATTTTATTATCCACATATTATTTTTAAATTATTGTTTTTTATAAGGACCTGATAAAAACTTTGATGAAATTTTTGGGCTAAAATTGAAAATTTAAAAGACAAAAATATAAAGTAAATAAGAGTTTAGTAGAAAACAAATCCAAAATTTTTGTAAATTTATAAAGAGAGTGAAAATGTATGGCTGAAGCCTATATTTTAATCTAACAATTTAATTATAAAATTTTTGGAGGTTAACCATAAATACTAATTAAAAACATGGTTTACGTAGATAGTACAAAGAAAATATATGAACTAAATTTATAATTTTATTACAATAAATATAATAACCTTGCATAACCTTACACTTTAAGCTAAGATAATGCAATTTGGGGAGATAACGGTAATTTAATAAATTCCAAACTTTTAAAGACGCGCCCAAATTTTAATTAAACCTTTTTTTTTTTTGTTTTTCAAAGGAATTAAACTAATAGTTAGGACGCCCTCTCAAATGCCTATAAAATTATTAGTTACAAAATTCAGCATAGAAAATTCTAGACTAATAAATAACAAAATTAAAATGGAACATGGGAATATTAAAAAAATACCTAAGAATGTCAAGCATATACAATGTTTCAGAAGTATAATATAATATCATGAAAAATATTATTTTAATTCACTTGGGTTAGTAAAATTAAATATAACATTAGAAAAATATTGCACTCCACAATGTTCATGGCAAATAATTATTAAATAATTCGTCCCAAAAACAAATAAAAAAGAAAAATAAAAAGTCAATATTACTTTCGCAACAAATTTCAGTTAAGTTCTTCTTTTCCACTCCTGGTCAAGAATCGAACCATCAATAATTAGGATAGTAATTATTAGCTCGTATTGATATGTTAATTTTTTTATTAATATTAAAAAATACTTGACTTAGCAATAAAGGTATAAACTTTTAAAATAGATAGACTAATGAGAGATAAAAAGAATGTAACGATAATTTGGAAATGAGGTTAGAAGAAATATAGAAGATTTAAGTCACATCTTGATTACTTGTTCTATTTTAAATTGTTCCCAACTTACAGTTATTCATAAGGTAAATTAAAAGAAAAAAAATTTGACGATGTTATGATTTTATTACACAATTTATTAAAAAAAATCAATAGAAAGATTGTATTATTTATTTATTTATTTAAAGTTGATGAAGTAGAACAAAATGTTTGAAATTGCAGGAATAAAATTAAAGCATTCAAAGTTTAATAATAGAATTCAATTCAAAGTTCAAAGCAACGTAAGAATTGAAATGCCATTTTATTAGGGAGAAAAAAAAGAATATTACAGGAAAAATAAGCTGTCCATTGCAAAGAAATTGGAGGATGGAAGAGAAGATTTGAAAATTGTGTTTCTGTTAGAAGTCAAGCAGTTGTTTTAATGGCGATGCGTTGGAGGAATCACATTCATCATTAACAAACAGAGGATCGATTTCACATTCTGGCGCGAGAAATCAAAGGGAAGTTGCAACAAATGTTTGGATAATTATCTCTTACAACAACTCATTTGCAGAAGAAACCAGGAAGATTGAGGCTCTGTAAGCCGCAAGAGGGAAAAATCAGAAACAGAATCAGACACCGAGGAGAGAACCAAGGCAATGAGAAGGAGAAATTCAAGCACCGGCTAACCTAGGTTTCTATCTCGTTCTCGCAAACCAACAACGAGCGCATTCCGCAGTTATTCAAACAGCTCTCTCACGCAATCGGCCACTTCTGGTTTTGATTTCTGAAGGAGAAATCGAGCTCGAGTTTGCAGATATAGTTGTATCGACTGCGTTATGGGCTGCTGCCAATCGTTTCTTAACTTGAAAAAACCTGCTGCCGATAGCCATGGCCAAGACAATTCTCAAGACGAGAAGAGCCACCACCAGAATGGAGTAGAATCCGCGCCGGCCGATGAAGGCGTGCCGTCGTTTATTGAGTTCTCCTTCGCCGACCTCAAGGCGGCGACTAACAACTTCAGCTCCGATTATATTGTCTCGGAAAGCAGTGATAAAACTCCCAATCTCGTTTACAAGGCCCGTCTCCAGAAAGAGAACAATCAACGCTGGGTTGCGGTTAAAAAATTTTCCAAAGCTGCGTGGCCGGACCACAAACAGTTCGCGGTACGCGCTCTGTTTATGTTCTTCATTTTTTGCGCTCTGATTTTGCCCACTGTATAGCCTTAGGTCTTCGTAGTTGTTACTCCATTGATTTGCTTGTGTTGTTTTGGTGGTGAACTCGAATTCAGGAGGAAGCCTCTGGTGTGGGGAAATTGAGGAACAAAAGACTGGCCAATTTAATCGGGTATTGCTGCGAGGGCGACGAAAGGCTGCTTGTTGCGGAGTATTTGCCCAATAGCACCCTTGCAAAGCATTTGTTCCACTGTAAGTCTTTTCAAACTGCCTTTTAATTGCCTATTTCAAAAATTCATTCGTGATTTACGATATCTGCAATTTGTCGAATCAAACGAGTTCTTCTTCTTCGTCTTCGTCTTCTTCGGATTCATGAAGTTGGCTTGCTATATTTAAGGCGTTGTGCATGTATCTATACAGTTTTTAACGCTCATTCTTGTCTTTATTGGAAGCTTCAATGAATAAAATAATGAAATCTGGACTTTGATTCTTACATCTATGATTTTTCCTGTTTCCTAGTAAAACTTAATCAGTTTACAATTTCCTTGGCAGGGGAGAAACAAACCATCGAGTGGGCAATGCGTTTAAGGGTTGCTCTATACATCGCTGAAGCATTAGAATATTGTAATCAGGCAGAACGTCCATTATACCACGACTTGAATGCAGATCGTGTTCTATTTGACGAGGTGCTGTAACAATAAACAAACCTCTTCTTCGTCCTAAAAGTCATTGATCTGTTATGATAAGATTTGAGAGAAAACTTGTGATTTTTTTTTTCCTTAATTGTCCATTTTTCTGATTTGTTGAAATTTTGCAGAATGGTGATCCTCGGCTATCGTGTTTTGGATTGATGAAGAACAGCATGGATGGAAAAAGTTATAGCACTAATCTTGCTTATGCACCTCCAGAGTATTTAAGAGATGGTACCAATCAAACTTAACTCTTTCCTTTTCAGTCATTTCTTTCTTCTTCCATTTACAAAAGAACATCTGTATTTTTTTCACTGTTTAATCACTGTCATATTTGGTTGCTTTTTTTCAGGAACTGTAACTCCTGAAAGCGTTATCTATAGCTTTGGAACTGTCCTTCTAGATCTTCTTAGTGGAAAACATGTTCCTCCAAATCAAGTAAGTTCATGGAACATACTAATACCAATGTTTAATTTATAAAAGAATTTGGGTTTCTTGAGATATTTTATGGGTATGAGGGTGTCACCAGCGACAACCTTTCTTAGATTACGTTGTACATGGATTTTATGTTAAATAAATCAAAACTCATCTAAGAAGCTTCAAATTTCTTGTTTTTCCCTCTGTTTTTTTTTTTCTATTTAATTATAGCCGGTTTTCTGGAGTTTGTTTTTCTGCCACTCTTTTCTTCAAATGCATGTTAAAGCGCTTTTGACTTCATTGACTTATTGGGCATGGACTTTACATGTGCAGATATTCAAGTGCTTAAAAAATGTTTTTAAAATCTCAACTCAATTTCTAAGAACTAAAATAATTGATTCCAAAAAATGTTTTTGTCTTTGAATTCATTTTTTTTGCTGAAGAGGCGAATATAATTATTCTTAAGAACACAGTTCCTTTACATTTTACTCAATTATTCTCTTGACTTGTAAGCAGGCGCTTGATATGATTGGAGGTAAAAACATAATGCTCCTGATGGACTCACATTTAGAGGGGAAATTTTCAACTGAAGAGGCGACTTTAGTATTTGAGCTTGCCTCACAGTGCTTGCAATATGAACCCAAGGATCGACCAACTATTAGAGAACTTGTGGCAGCACTCGTTCCCCTGCAAAATAAATCTGATGTAAGCAATTCCTTCTTTATCCTATGGACCTTTCGTGGTGCGTGATTCAATATTATGCGTGCTCGTCTTTGTATTTTCCTTTCATCAACTAGATACTGATGGAATGCATATGGTTTGATCATAAGAAATAATATGCTTTCTTGTAATATCAGTTAAATCACAATCGTTTTTACTCGGTTTTCTAACTTCTAAGATGATAAATACTTGCTTATAGGTTCCATCCTATAAGATGCTGGGCATTCCAAAACATGAGGAAATAGCGTTGCAGCCACAACAGCCTCTCTCTGCAATGGGTGATGCTTGTGCTCGAATGGACCTCACAGCCATTCATCAGCTTTTGCTCATGTCACACTACAAAGATGATGATGGATCCTGCGAAGTAAGCCCTTTCTGTTGCTCAAACTACTTGCTTCTTTCGTTTCATTTCTTGAAGCTTTTCCCCCATCAAATTGTTGATAGTTCAAATACTAAAAATTTTCATCTCCATCTGGATTCATGCAGCTGTCCTTCCAAGAATGGACACAGCAGATAAGAGATATGTTGGAGGCTCGCAAGCGAGGCGACTTAGCGTTCCGAGATAAAGATTTTAGAGGTGCAATAGATGGCTATACTACGGTAAGCTACACATATTTCCTGATGAACTCTAAGATGAGAATTCACCAAACATGGAGATACCCTTGATTTAACTTGTGCATTCTCTGGATCATCTCTCTTCTCTCCCTGACTTCACCAGACATCTGAGTTACTCTGTGCTCAAGATCTAACCTCTAAATGTATGGTATTATGTGCAGTTCATCGACGTCGGGAACATTCTTTCTCCAACAGTGTATGCACGAAGAAGTATTTGTTATATGCTCTGTGACAAACCAGATGCTGCCCTTAGAGACGCTATGCAAGCACAATTGGTTCACCCTGAGTGGGCTATTGCATTTTACTTGCAGGCTGTTGCTCTTGCCAAGCTTGGAATGCATAAGGATGCAGCTGACATGTTGAATGAGGCAACAACATTAGAGAAGAAAAGGCATAGAGGGGGCAGAGGGTATTGATAATCAATTCTCTCAAAATTCTTTGATGTATTTATTCTTTTTTTTTTCTTTTTTCTTTTTCTACCATATCTTCTTCAAAGTTGTAACGAACAGTTGCGGTCGAGATCGGGCAAAACGGCACACCATGGGATCTGTCAGTTTAATCAATTAAGAAAGTATGCAATTTTGTGAAATCAAGTGAAGTGATTAGTTGATTAATCTTTGTGTATTTGACATTTTATAATACAATGCCGTGTCCATATGTTTCTATCATCTATGCAACATATAACTCAGCTTTTCCGTCGATGAAGAGGCTCATGAACTCTTCCCCGTCCACGGTTTCCTTCTCGATAAGGAGTTGCGCGAGTTTGTGAAGAATGTCGATGTGTGTTGTGATGATCTGCTTCGCCCTCGAATATGCCTTCTCTACCAACTCCCTAACCTCTGCATCCACAACATCTGCAGTTGCCATGGAGTAATCTTTCTGGGATGACATCTGCAAGTTCAAAACATTCATTATAACTTAGTCTGTCAAAATATGGAGGTAACCTGAAACCTGAATGCAGCGACATTAGAGTATACCTGTTGACCTAAGAAGGGGTTTCCGCCCGGACCGCCAATTGCAATTTGTCCGATCTTTTTACTGAATCCAAACCTCTCAACCATTTGCCTCGCTACTCGAGAGACTTGCATGAAGTCGTTCGATGCACCCGTTGTCACATTGTCTTCTCCAAATATCACCTCCTCGGCCACCCTACATTGGCCATTAGATGCAAATTGAGTATCATATAAGCTTAAAGTACCTAAATAACTAAATATAAACACTTTTCACCCTTTCAAAAGTCATACTAAAATTTCCTTTTAACTCCTAAATCCGAAAGTAAAGATGATCACTGCGATACTCGTAGAAGTTGTCATAAAATAAAATTTTCCTTTAAACTCCTAAATTCAAAAGTAAAGAATGATCACAGCGATACTCGTAAAATACTGTTGAGTAATAAGCCAGGTAATCTTATACATGGCAGGGATGAATTTTGAATAATATATACCTTCCTCCAAGGGCAACAGCCATCTGATTCTCCAGGTAGCTTCTGCTGTACAGTCCAGACTCGAGCCTCTCTTCACTTGGAGCGAAAAAGGTAAGTCCACCGGCTTGCCCACGGGGGATGATCGATATTTTTGCCACGGGATCGTATTCTGGCATCAATGCACCGACAAGAGCATGCCCTGCCTCTGCATTTGGAGAGAAAGAAAAAAGATTTTGTTAATAAAATTGCAAAACCAGTTAATGTAACAACTATGATCCCATTCGCACATACCATGGTAGGCAACTAATTTCTTCTTCTCGTCCGAGACAACGGCATTCTTCTTTTCTGGTCCTGCAATTATTCTCTCAAGAGCATCTGATATCTCATCTTTGCTTATTTCCTTGAGATCACGCCGGGCTGCAAGAATGGCTGCTTCGTTCATCAAGTTCTGCAAATCAGCTCCAGTGAAACCGGGGGTTCTCCTCGCTATCTTTTCGAAGTCGACATCTTTAGCAAGAGCCTTCCCTCTTGAGTGCACCTGCAGGGCATCGGTGTGTCATTTCAGGGAGAATATAGAGAACTTAAAACATTAACAAAAACTGAATCCGACAGATGTTCTAAACTATGATACTACATTGTAGATATATATAGCACAATAAAAACAAAAATGGGCATCTTTTGGCTCTGTTTCTACGGTTGATACATCTTAAAATCAAGTATGACCATAAGCATAAGTGACTTGTCTTTGAACTTAAAACAAGAGGAGTTTCCAATGCACTGACCTGAAGAATCTTAACTCTACCGGCAACGTCGGGTCGGTCGACAGTGACTTGTCTATCAAACCTTCCGGGCCTCAACAAAGCGGAGTCAAGAACATCTGGTCTATTTGTAGCTGCCAACACAATCACACCTGAATTACCAGAAAAGCCATCCATCTCAGTCAAGAGCTGATTGATCGTTTGCTCTCTCTCGTCATTCCCACCTCCAAGACCAGCCCCTCTCTGTCTTCCCACAGCATCAATCTCATCAATGAAGACAATGCAAGGGGCTTTGGACTTGGCCTTCTCGAACAAGTCCCTCACTCTCGAAGCACCCACACCCACAAACAGTTCTACAAACTCTGAGGCAGCACACGAGAAGAATGGCACACCAGCCTCTCCGGCCACGGCCCGGGCCAGAAGAGTCTTTCCGGTACCAGGAGGTCCAACGAGGAGGCACCCTTTTGGGATTTTGGCTCCAAGAGCAGTGTACTTATCAGGGTTTTTCAAGAAATCGACCACTTCCTGCAGTTCAAGCTTCGCTTGGTCGGCTCCGGCAACATCAGCAAAAGTCACTCCAGTTTCTGGCACTTCTTGGAATTTGGACTTCGATCTTCCAAAATCCATTGGCCCGCCTAGTCCACCAGGGCCGCCGGGTCCGCCCTGGGCGCGGCGGAAGAGGAAGAACAATCCGGCAAAAGCGAGGAACGGGAACAACAAATTACCAATAAAACTGAACAGACCGTTTCCCGTATCGCCTTCGGACACCGAAATATCGACACCATTCATGGCTAGAATGTCGATGAGATCAGGGTCGTTGGGGACAATCACGGTGGCCCGGCGGCCATCAACGGCGGTGAGCTGAAGCGCAGAGCCGTCTTTGCTAAACCTAACTCGCTCCACCTTGCCCTTCTTCACCGCATTCAAGAATTCGCTGTATCGCCATTGGGTGCCTTCGGGAAGGTCCGAAGGCGATTGGGATTGGGGTTTAGGGGCAGTAAGAAGAAGATTCTGAGAGAACGGGGAGGAGGTTGAAGTACTGGGACTCACCGATTGAGCTTCAATTACCGGAGGAGGCGGAGGCGGTGGAGGGGAAGCGTCATCCAGAGCCAGAGCTTGCGGCGCAAGTGAGGAGAAAATTAGGGCAGCCAAAGTAGCTTTCGATGGAAACTTAGGTCTGTCGCTAAGAACGCTCCGCGTAAGAACGAGCTTCCTCTTCGGAAAAAATGGCAGAGGCGTCGCCGATCTGGTAGTTTTGGGGGTCGGAGGAAAGATTAAGGTCTTGGTTCCGAAGAAAGATGAAGAAAGAAGGAGATTTGTGGCGGAGGAAGCCATAATTCCGACGAAATTTCCAGTAGCTTCTGATCAGATTGATGAAACTGGTGGAAAAGAGAGTAAATATAGAGAGAAAATGGCGAGAGAGGAAGAGCTGCGAATTTGGAGAAATTGGGTCCAAAGAAATGGGTGAGTTTGGTTCAACTTTCTATCCGCGCCATGGATTCAACAAGTGTTAGCGTCTCGTCCACGTGTATGCTTAAACTCCAATTAGTTCTTCCTTCGAATAATTTTCTTCTCTTTTGGTTCAATAAACTTTTCTGAAAACTTTTCTGAGGTATATATAATTACTGTTGAGTGCTGGTTTTGGTAAAAGTTGAATTATTTTAATAAATAGTTAACCGAATTAGATAATGGATAGATGAATGAATTATAAGGCATTTAAATATAATTCATCAGATTTAACCTCTCTTTCTAATCAAAATATAGTGAATTCGAATCTTCACCACCTACATGTAATTCAAGAAAAAGAATTATAATAAATTAAGATTGAATTTAATATTACAATTCCATAAATATTAAGTGTTTTGATTGTCATAAATCTTGAATCGAATTCTTTTAAATTAATGGATTTTGTTCAAACAAGTATTTTGTTTCTTCCAAGAAAGTTATTAAAACAACCAAATATTTTATTAAAATATAAAAACATCAAAAACTGTAGTAAGACATAATACTTTCTCATCCATTGCACATCGACAGCCCGTCTAGCTCAGTTGGTAGAGCGCAAGGCTCTTAACCTTGTGGTCGTGGGTTCGAGCCCCACGGTGGGCGATATTAAATTTTTTATAATTTTTTTTTTCCCGGAAGATGCTTTATAGTCACCAAACCTTTTTTCCTTTGGCAGGCAACAGATAATTTATATATGCTATAATATTGTTATCGTGTGGTTCGCCCTATCAAAATTACATCTTCAAGACCCAATCAAAATCATGAAATTACGCAAAACTCCATCAAATTATATAAGAAGTTACCTAACCTCATTCTTACAAGTTGCAATGTTGTTAGTTGCAATGTTGTTCGTGAAGTAGACGCACTCGAAATAAATGCCTCATATAGAGACATATCTTGCTCGTCTAGTGAAAATTTTGGATTTCCATGAAATTTAACCGCCCCAATGTGCTCTTAGCAGAAATTGCAGGAGGAAAAAAAAGGGGAATTCTTTGTAAAGAAAAATGTCAATGCATTTTCTACATCAATGTGAAAAATGGAATACTTTCATATGCATTACAGAAAACAAAGTACTTTTGTTCAGAGACACAATTTACCCATAAAATCGTGTGCTTTTGTATAAATTACTTTAATGAACCATCTCTCTACCGGCCATACTCTCCAGAGCAAGCAAGCAGGCACTGAGCATTGAAATTGTTAGCAAAGATGCGAGAGCTATGCAGCAGGTGCAACTGAGGCTTTGGAAATTTAGCATTAAGAAAGCTGTGAGATTGGAATGCTCTTTAATAGATATTTCTATGCAGTGTCGATGTCTATTGAATTAAGTTGCTTTATGTGCAGTGGTAGAAAGCAATTAAACTAGTAGTCCCTCTGTCGTGACACTAAATTCCAGGACAAATAGGCATTCACGAATGCTTCATCTCCATTGGCTGCATGAATTCAGCCAAAAGAAATGAAGTGGAATGCAATTGAGCATCCTTTCAAGACAACCGAGGATTGGAAGAATGGAAGAATTCATGCAACAGATAATGGGAACAGAGAGCAAACTGTATTCAGAAATAGGTACTGATTTTGCTTCAACTCAACAACAGCAGGAGATTGAACATGAACACAAATCAAGTATTCAAAACACATCAGAAGAATTCGTGATTACAAGGTAAAATGTTGAATTGATGTATCAGTCACTTGGCTGTCACAATATCCTTATTTCAACAGAACTTGGCAAATATGGTATTCGTAATTTCAATCAAACAGGAAACCTGCAGCTGAAGCCTTATCGTTCCCGGTTCGCCCGTGGTTGGACGGACAGCGGGCCTACAAAGAACCTGAAAGCTTGTTAACAAAACCACACACCAAGCAAACCAATTTAGTAACGAAAGAAGCAGTCACATGCCCGAAGCACTCATATTACCTGATGGTTAAGTGGTTAATAGTTCAGTGTGGCACTACAGCAGAAAGCTATGACACATTTTGTTTCGACTTTTTTATCTATAAAAATTGAGAATTAATTGGGGAAAACTGAAAAGAGAGGCGAGTAGTTAAAAGGGTACCTAATGCTCATGTCCATGGTCACCGTGGCCCTCCCATGGATGTCTCCAACCCTAGAAGAATCAGCAGAAAGTTCACATAAGTAAAGTTTTCTTCTAAAGAAAATAAATTATAAGTAGAGATGTAATCTATGGTTTTCAATTGCAGTGACTATCACCAGTACTACAGGTCCATCTTGCTTCGCCCTGTATAGCACCCAAAACCTGAAATATAATAACCAATAATTTGGTCAAAACACAGATTTCGAACCACTTCGAACACCAATTTTTCAATCCTGCAGATTCTGTTTGTTTTCTAATTTTCCACCGAGACATCAAATTGTATACGAACTATTAAAAGATAGAATCAAAATAATAGTAAAACTCATGACTTCGCTCGATCGCGATGAAATAATTTTGAACAATGCGAGACGCACAGATCGGAGAAGATACAAAACTCGGAAAGACAGAGAAAAAGAGTAAAGAGATAAAATTAGACAGAACTAATGGCGCGGATTGGCTAAAACTTAAGAATCAATTGAGGTTCCTTCAATGAAATTGGTGATCGGGAATCGGCAAAGCTAGGGTTTATACCACATGACGGCGCACAAGCCCTTGCCGGTGACGGTGTGCCAGCGCTTCGGCTGGTGTATGGTGATGCCCTTGTAAGTTGTACCCGCTCCATGCCCACCTCCCATATTTGGCCTCTGCACTTTGAATTGCTCTGTAAAATCTGATTGCAGAAATGATCGAGTGAAGAAGATGAATCTGGGAAGAAGAAAAAAACACTCGAAAGATCCGACTGTTGTGTTTAGTTTTGGGGGAAGCCATAAAATGGGCTTCAAACGGGTCATTCCATTAAATGGCTTTTTCATTCGGCCCATTTTATTAGGGCCCATGGCCCATATAGCAGTTCCAACTGTATCCAAACCTCATACATAACCTAAAAGCCGAACCCACGTCTCCTAGGCGAGCTATTAATACTAGATTAGACTATTAAGCAATTTTTATATAATTTATAACTAGTTTTAACGAATTATATAGTTTTATATAGTATATGCTATTTTATATATTACTATGTGATATATAAATATTTATTAATTTCACTATTATTTGTTATTTTCAATATCCTAATATTAATACTAGATATATTATTTTTATATAAATTATGTGAAATACATTCAATTTTGACCATGGTAGGTGTGAGATCAAACTTCCCATAAAATTAAAAAGTAAAATTATATTTTAATTTTAATCATTTTCCCATGCCAAGAAGAAAAGATAATTTAAAATTAAAATATGTACCACATATGCACGTAATGACATTTATGTTAAAAACACTTACGACAATTTAACTTTAAGCACACTATATTCAAAATTTTATATATTATTCTAAAACTTAGAAACTAAATATAATTCTCGTCTAAAAGTGTATTTTAGTCTATTTTTACATGATATAGTTACACAATATTAAATTAATACATATATATAACTAATGAGGTTTAAAACTGAATTTTATTTAAAAGATGAAAATCTCCGTTAAAACAACACAATCCTTAGAATTTATAAGCTATAACTTTGAATCGAACCCCACGGATAAAAGTCTACAAATAACCGATGCCAACCAAGACCAGAACGCCATTAGCTCTTCCCTCTCAAGTTTCAAGGTGCATTTTTACAGTTTGCTAATCCTCTTTGGAAGGCTACCCATGGCCCTAGCCTCCTCTTTGAGAATAAATTTCTGAGTTTTTCCCGTTGAAGTTTTCGGCAAATCTTTAAATACGACGCATCGAGGAGCCATGTAATGGGATAGGTGCTCTCTGCAGAACTTTATGATCTCTTCTTCACTAGCGCTACGCCCATCTTTCAACTTCACAAATGCACATGGTGTTTCTCCCCAATGGTCATCAGGTCTTCCCACAACAGCAGCTTCCAGAATTGATGGATGACTGAAGAGTACAGACTCAACCTCAATTGAGCTAATATTTTCTCCCCCGGAAATTATGATATCCTTCGAACGATCCTTCAATTCTATGTAACCATTAGGGTGCCTAACCCCCAAGTCCCCGCTCCTGAACCAACCGCCACTAAACGCCTCTCTTGTGGCTTTAAGATCTTTCAAATATCCATTCATCACAGTATTGCCTCTAAACATAACTTCACCCATAGTTTTTCCATCAGCTGGAACACTCTTCATGGTGATAGGATTCTTTATGTCCATTTCCTCCATACCTACGTGCTGCAATCCTTGGCGAGAATTCAATTTTGCCTGTTTATCCTCATGAAGGGAATCCCATTCAGGTCTCCAACTGCAAACAGTTGCTGCACCATATGTTTCTGTCAAACCGTACGTGTGAACCACAAAAAACCCCATCGCTCTCATCTTACAGAGCACATGAGAAGGTGGTGGAGCGCCACCAGTCATCACAGTTACCTTCCCAGGGAGTGGCTTCTGTTCGATAATTGGTGCATTGATAATCATGTTCAACACAGTCGGTGCACCGCCCATATGAGTAACATTGTGTCGAGAAATGTTAGCAAAGATTTCTTTAGCAGTCACAGTCCTCTGGCAGATGTTGGTGCCGCCTTGTGCAGCCACGCCCCAAGTAAAACACCATCCATTGCAGTGAAACATTGGCACAGTCCACAAATACACAGGGAGTGGCGACATATCATTAAGAAGAACGGTAGACAGAGTATTCAAATACGCACCTCTATGGGAGTAAATCACACCCTTTGGTCTTGATGTTGTGCCAGAAGTATAGTTAAGAGAAATTGGATCCCATTCATCTCGAGGTCGCCTGATCTTGAAATCAACTTCTCCCGTGGCTAAAAGGCTCTCAAACTCTAGATGATCTGGGTCGATGGAGTCGGATGGTCGACCTTGACCAAACTCTTGAATAATGACAACAAGAGGCGCCTTTTTTTCTCTTCTCTCGAACATAACTTTGATGGCTCCCTTCACAACGTGTAGAAACTGGTAGTCCACAATAATGATTTTGGCTTCGGAATGGGTTAGCAATGTAGAAACCATTGCTGCATTGTGACGTATGTTGAGGGTGCAGAGAACCGCACCAGCCATTGGTACAGCAAAATGCAGCTCGTACATAGCTGGAACATTCGGTGCCAAAGCAGCAACCTGCAGGTCCAGAGAAAATTAATTAAATCAATAATTGTAATGGAAACGGATATGGAAATGGGAGAGTTTTGTGAGTACAGACCACATCTCCGCGAGCGATTCCCAAGCGGACGAGCACAGAAGCGAGCCTGGTACAACGCTGGAGTGTGTCTCTCCAAGTATATCGGAGGTGTCCGTAGACGAGTGAGATTCTGTCGGCATAGACGGCGGCGGAGCGCTCCAAGAAGGTGATTGGAGTGAGAGGCGCGTGATTGGCGGAGCAGCGTTCCATGCCATCCATGGATTATGCAGGCGATCGACGGGACGGGAGAAACCAGTAGCGTGAAACTTGAACAGAAGATTAGACCGTGGTTTAATTTGATTCTGGTGGGCAACGAATCTGCAAATTTAGAAAACCTCAGCTGAAAAAATATATTATGTTGCAGGCAGTGAGGGAAGAAAACATCTGGTAGTGCGTGCGGGGACATGAGGGGCAATCAGCATGTGAGTTATATATTTAAATAATTATTTATTAACTTTACCATATTATAAAAAACTACATTTTTAACCTGTTATTAGTTATTAAAGTTTGTAGGTAGGTGTCGAATCGACATTTTTTCACGGTTAGTAGATGAAGCGTGAATCACGTTGATTTACTCTCTCTTTTTTTTTTCTAATTTATTTATAATATTTTTCTTTTTACTCCCTCTTCTCTTCCATTTTCTATTTTTCAAAATCCTCCCTCGCCTCTCTCTTTCCCATTTCCTTCATTGTTTCTGATCTTTTTTTCTTTTCCGTCTCCCTATTTATTTTCTTCTTCTCCTCTTTCCTTTCTTTCTCTCGTTCTAAGCCCCTATTTCTTTCTTTCTCTCACTAGTTCCATCTTCTTTCAATGAAAAGTCGACAGCAATGGCTTTGAGTTTTTTTTCCTTCTTCTTTTCGAGCAAAGGGCATGGAGTGGGGGGAATTGACGTTCAACAAAAACCAAAGAAAACCGACCCGTCCATGGTCGGTTTATACAGATAGATAAAAATAATAGCATTGACCAACCGAAAATCGGAGGGCCTACGGTCAGTTTTGTGCCAAAACCAAAAATCAAAGGAAGGACAAAAATTGTGCAGACATTATTTTTTTTTTCTCTCTTCTAAGTACAGCAACTTGAGGTGGAGGAATTCAAAGTCGCAACCTCATGGCTAGAGATAGATGTCCATACCATTTAACTAAGATTATGTTGGTCGGAGCATTACTGTTGGTCTTGATATTACCCGGCTAAAACATTTTTTTGAAAGCTCTTCTATGGTTTGTTTGCAACTAAAATATAAATAAAATTAAAAAATAATCTTTCAATTTCATTACAGTAAAAAGGACAAAATCTTGCGAGTCCAAATGAATTTGCCTTTCATCTTCTTCCAAACTTTATAAAGCAATTCGACTATTTGTGCATTTATTAAACATACATCTTTCTTCGATTTTGATTAGACGGCAAAAATAATGATAGTGGTGGCGATGATATTAATTAAGCACTAGATTTTGATAGCTTTACAAAAAAACAACGACGATAAGTTGAAAACATGGTGGTTCATGAGAGTGGAGGAAGTATTCGTATTTGATGCAAATCTTCGATATTATTTTACTTATCACCATGCATCTCAAATAAATAATAAATAATGATGGGCAGGATAAAAGGGCATATGACGAAATTATGTAAAAAGTTCTATCGTCGTAAATAGAAATAGGGTCTTAATTCGTTGGAAGGTCATAAATCTATTGTAGCGTGTCATAAATTCGGACTAGATCTCCAAACCGATCCGAACAAGACATGAGCACTCATAAGGGGTAAAGAACTAGAAAGAAGGAGCTTAGACACAATTGTGGTGTCCATATATGACCATCTCATTACTCGTTCGGTAAGATTTGGGATACATCACAAATCCTAAGAGAAATTAATGCTCGCTCAGTCTCTGAGGTGCACCACGATCACGATAAGATGTCATTCACCTAACCATAAATGACCGCCTATAAAAAAAAGTCGAGTTGATCTACAATTACATGTACATCTTAACTCGTTTTTAGATTAATCAACTCGGATCTCCACTGACTAGAAAATCGAAGTACTCACTTTTCTTTTGTAAATTCTTTTCTCCACCAAGATTCACCAACGATGTTTGAGTGCCAATTTCATGTTCAACCATAGTTATCTCTATTATCCTATTTGGTTCACTTCTATTTATCTTTATCGATATTTTTTTAGTTACTAAAATAAATTTCAATATTTGTTTTTAACATAAAGCATTATTAAAAAAAAGGACTAAACTTTATTCTCAAACAGAAAATAAATACAAGGGCTACACCTGCAAAAAAAAACCATAAGAAAGGTGTTGCCGTCCAAATATTACGAAACAAAAATAAAATTATTTAATTTTAAAATTAAAATAAATTGAGCAATCAGAAATAAAGGATCGCAGACATTTATTTCCACACGTTCGGAATTCAATTTCCAGCATAATTTTCTCGTTAAAAAATTGCGAGCCGGAAATCGGAAGTCTAATAGTGGCAAATCCATACACGCTTTTTTTTTAAAAAATAATATAAACGAAATTATTATTTATTTTCAGAATTAAAAAACAGGTTGACCAGTCAACGACGGCGGCTCTGCACCTCCTATACATGCGAACGCGAGGACCTGCACGGCCACAAACAGTCTCCACCTTCTACTCTCACTTCTCTCTCGGACGGCGCCGGCGATTCACCCTTCTCCACCTACTTTTCCGACAGTCAAATGGCGCTCTACGGCGGCGGCGACAATCCCGCAGTGGATCCAAGAAGCGGCTTCTGCAGCTCCACTAAAATCT